TTGGAATCTGTACACATGCTTCTCTCCACCTAAACATTCTTGCTGGAAATACCCCCACCCCTTTTACCTGCCTACCTCCCTTCTCATCCTCTCTCTCTCTCTTTCTCTCTCTCTCTGATATAGATAGATATAGATGATATAGAGAGAGATACAGACATAGACATAGATATAGATACAAATATAGATTTATAGATGTATGCATTTATAGAATTTATCAATGTCTGAAAGAATCAGTGATGCCATTAAGATACTTACCTGTCTCAAAACATCTCTCTTACTACACATTCTTATAAAGATGCAAATAAAATTTTTAGAGACCTAACAAAGAATTATTTACATGTAATAAATTTAGTACAGTTAATAATGTGATTTGCTTTGTGAATATGCCAGGCAGAGAAGAGAGCTCCAAGGTAAGAAATGGGGGCCAGGATAGGGAGCCCCCTAAAGGCCTAATCATCTATATTAGCACTACCAAAAGGGACCATAGACTGGCACTTGTCTGTGAACTGTGTTATAGTATAGTGAGGAGATAGGAGCTTGCACTAGAGTGTAAATCCACACATTGCTTCTGAGAAAGTCTTGCCAAAAAAAAAAAAAATCAGTTAAATTTAACAGCTAAATTTAACACTAAATTTAAAGTTCAGTGACTTTGCATACCACTGATCTATAGCAAAATCTCAAGGCCCTAGATAAAGAAATAAACATAACAGAAAGTACCATAAAAGCAAGAAGAAACTTACTCAATAAAAGTTTTACATCTGTCAATTTTATTTAATGTCAGGCTTTAAGTTATATCCATAATGACATTCTTTGTTTTCTCTTACCTCGGACACACTAGACTTGGCTATAATATTAACTAGGTAAATAAGGAAATGTTTCTTAATTCAGAAAACATCAGTACAACATTAACATTTTACAATGAAGAGATTGCACTAGATCAGTGGTTCTCAACTGAGGGTAATTTTGCACCACTACCACTCCCCTGCCCCCAGGTAGCACTGGCAATATTGAGAAATTTTTGATTGTCACAGCTGAAACTGGTGAATGAATTATTTGCATTTAGTGGATAGAGACTGGGGGTACTGGTAAACTCCCCATTGTGCACAAGACTTATATCTCCCCAAACCAAAAAACATCCAGTCCAAAATGCTCCTATTGTTGAAGCTAAGGAACTTTGCACAGTAGATGGTCTCTAAAGTCCCCTTCATCTCTCACATTCTCTGATTATTTTGATGTTCACAAGAGTTGTATTCATATTAATGACCTAATAACAGTGTGCAAAGTGACTTCTTTATCTAATGTCAATTTCTGCTGTGAAATATATTTAGGCTATAAAGAGAACAGGATAATACAATTTCAGTATATATTCAAAAACTGAAACAGTTATAATGCTCAGCAAACTTCCATAATGTTATTGATTTATTCTAATTGAATTTTTTTTAAGTGGGGGGGAGGGACTGCCAGAAACTTCTGCCTAAAATGACTTAATTTTCTCTATCAGCTATTTGTTTAATCCAGTTGTATAAGGAGTTGAAAAACATTCAGGAAACTTAGATTCGGTCAGCACCTCTGTCCTGATCTATTACAAAGCCTTAAGCAGGGTTCTATATTCTGGGCTTTAGTTTTTGTTTTTACTGGAAAACAGACATACTACTTAAAGGCTAAAACCAAGAATGTTTGGCACAAAAATAACATGGTTTGTTGTATTCCTTGAGGCCTTTGTTTAAACTTTTCTGCAGTTAAAAAAATAACTACCATGAAGTAAGTTTTCCTCTGACATTCTTATGAGTACCCTGCAAATTCACTAACTCTAAATAGAACGACTATTTCTTTTAGATACACTTCAGAGTGTATGGTAATTTTTTTATTAAGTTAAAACACTATGTTCAAAAGAACATATATCTTATTGCATATAAAAATTATTTCCTGATGATTTCTAGTGCCTGCTTGCTTAATGATATCATTGTGTCTGTAAGATTCACCAGACGTCAGATTTGGAGCCACGATACTTTGGTGAAAGACCAAAGATTTTCACAAAGGATGTCAGTTATGCCCCTGGAATTACACCCTTCTATTTGATCTGTTCCAGCTTTCTCAGCTGGCACGTGCATACTTGAAAAGAAAAAACCTCAAGTTCCCAGGATGGTCTTTTGTCTTTGGTCTTTTTTTGCAAAGAGAAGTAATCTTGTCTCTGCATCTTCCACTATAGTTTTGTTGAGTGTTTCCAAAAGCACTTATCCCCAAATACTTGGATACTGCTCTTAAGTGTTCTTCAAAGTCATTAGATCTTTTATACTCCATCCATAAACAGATAGGGTTTTGTAAGCCTTATATAAATATTAATGACTACATGCTAAGCATCAAATGCAAAATGGGCAATCAGGATTTTTATTTAAATTTAAAGGTGCAGGATAGAAATGTCAAGCCCATAAGCAAAAAAAACTTCAGACTAGATCTCAAAAGGCAATATGGATAACTGGAATGGTAACAGAGAAATTTCCAAATGTATCAGAATGAGTAATGAAATCAAAATAAAATAATACTGGCATACTTACAAAACAATAACCTTGTTTGACCTATTAGTAGATTTAAGAGCAAAATCTCTGAAGTCCCAGTCTGCCTACAAAAAACTGAGTAACTTAATCTCTGTACGTTTTGATTTCCTTATCTTTAAAACAGGATTTTAAAAGTCCTTATTTCATAGAGTTAGTGTGAGTATTGAATGAGTCCACATATTAATGTGTTTGCTCAGTGCCTGACACACAGCATGCATTTGATATACATTAACTATTATTCATAAAAATGTTATAAAGATCTAGATTGGAGGTAGGCAAACCACAGCCTGGCCCACAAGCCAAGTCCAGCTGGCCACCTGATTTTGTAAACAGTTTTTTTGGAACACAACCATGTCCCATTCATTTATGTACTGTCTAGGGCTACTTTTACCCAACAACAGCAACATTGAGTCCTCATGATGGTGACCGTATGGCCTGTAAAGCCTAAACTATTTACTCTTTAGATCTTACTGTGTCTAAGGGTCTGTTGCCCTGAAAGAAATGACAATAAACATGCTGGTAATCAATAAGAAGCAGCACACAAGTCCCTTCTGTGAACACAGGCCCAAAGCTTCTCAGAAGTTCTAACCCTAAAGGGTTTTTGATTTGAAAGAGGAAGCAGAAATGGGACTGGTGAGGGAGAGAGAACAAAGACAACCTAGAGGGATAAGGGCAAAAAGGTTTTCTTCCAATATCAGATTTTTGCCATTAAAAGCCACTGTCATGGCTGTTTCTTTTAGGGCGTTAAAATCAGACCATTTTGAAAGTATCATTTAGAATCTACATAGAGTTGTGGTTAAAAACACAAACACTTAGGGCGCCTGGGTGGCTCAGTCCATTGAGCATCCGACTCCAGCTCAGGTCATGATCTCACCGTCAGTGAGATCTAGCCCAGCACTGGGCTCTGTGCTGACAGCTTAGAGCCTGGAGCCTGCTTCAGATTCTGCGTCTCCCTCTCTCTCTCTGCCCCCCCCCTCATGTTCTCTCTCTCTCTCTCTCTCTCTCTCTCTCTCTCTCTCTCTCTCTCAAAAATAAATAAACATTATGGGGCCCCTGGGTGGCTCAGTTGGTTAAGCAGCTGACTTCAGCTCAGGTCATTACCTCCCTGTCTGTGAGACCCACGTCGCGCTCTGTGCTGACAGCTCAGAGCCTGGAGCCCGCTTTGGATTCTGTGTCTCCCTCTCTCTCTGCTCCTCCCCTGCTTGTGCTCTATCTCTCTCTGTCTCTCAAAAATAAATAAATGTTTTAAAAGTTTAAATAAATAAATAAATAAATAAGCAAACAAACAAACATTAAAACACACACACACACACAAACATTGGAGCTAGGTTTCTTGGGTTCCAATCCTGATTCTACCATTAACTAGCTGTGTGACCTTGGCAAATTAAATAATCTGTGGTAAGGATTAGATAAATCACTAAAAGCACTAACATCAGTAATCCATTCCTAAAAATTGAATGGTGAATGGTGTATGCACAAATGCTCACCAGACTGCATTATTTTTAAAAGAGAAAATCCATATGTGTGCCCCACCTCACACACCCCACCCACGACACACACCTACTTAATTACTATATCTTGACTCCACAATGACCAGTTACATACAACAGTAACGCTTCCTATGAGTGTGCCAGTCGTAGCTAGAGCTTTTGGCACAATGCTGTCACCTTCCTAAAAAGAAACTAAAGCCGTAAAAATGCCTATTCATAATTATTAAAGTATCATTTTAGTATTTAGATGTTCAAAACATCTTTCTGATTACATCATTAACAATTTGTTAAAAAACAGTTGCTTTGTATGAAGTCACATCTTCTTTTCCATGTAATTGCTTTTCTCGGTTGCTCTGCTATTTCGCTATTTTCTTCAACACTTTCTCATTGCAGTTTTAGGCAAAACAAGGCCTCAATACAAAAGGCATTGTGGAAAATTTGTTTGGGACCAGGAACCCAATGACAGGATCGCACTGTGCAGGAGGCAGTGGGGCCCCTCCTATAACTTGCAGCATCCTAGATGCCCAACACTGGCTGTGCAAGACGCCTGCTCGCAATTCTCATTTTCTATCACTTTGGATTAACTCCAGACTTTCTCTGCACATTTTTTGTTTAAAATGTACTGTGTTTCATAAATATACTTTTGCCATATAAACAATGCCTGAAAGGTTTGTCCATTCTACAAAGCTTAAGTATTAAAAACCACAATACACGTCCCCCAAACACACCCCAAACCTCGCCCAAACCTTCCTGCAACCCCTGACTGGCACTCGCAGCTCACCAGAATCTCCTGAAGCTCAGCCCCTCGACAGCGCCTGGAGCCTCCAGGATGTTCAGCTCCTTCACCTTCCGGTCTGGCCAAGCCCCGCCCCCCCGCCCCCCCAGCACGGCCCTCCTCCCTTCGCGCCCTCCCTCCCTCCACCTCGGACCTCCACTGGCTGGGGCGGCCATGCGGGGCCCTTGCCTGCGTGCTGTGGAGGCGCTTCTCCCCCAAGCCCGCATCTGTGGCTGAGGCTTCCAAGTCTTGACAGAGTTGCTAAGAAACGGGATAGTGCCCTCGGGGTATAAATGTGTGCTTCCCCAGGCAAAGAGGCGTCCCAAGCATTTGAAGAGGGACACAGCTGCACCTAAAAACTATGGCCGTTGCCAAACCCCGGATGTAGCCGCAGTTTACCAAGATTCAGAGGTCGTCACGAACTTCAAAAGTAGGCTGTTAGCTGAGAAGTTTTTATAGGCCTGTGGCCTCTTAGTCTGTGGTCCAGGACTACTAGAAAATGGATGCAAGGCATCTAAGTAACCGCTGGAAATAAGAACCACGGAGTTGCCACTTCGGAGCTCCACCTCTGGGTTCCCTCTCGGCTACACGCACGAGGAGGGCAGCTTTCCCTCACAGACTCCCTAAGGCTCGATCGGAATTGCTGCCTCGTAGGGGCTGTGTAGGAAGACCTGGCCAGAGAAGCTGCTGCAGGAACATTCTCCTACCTTCCGCCTCTGTTCTGCCTTGTTCTCTGCCTGTGATCAGAAAGAAAGCCGACTCAGAGTAAGTTAGTAAATGCTTGATTCCTTGTCTTACTGAGGGCCACAGCCCGGGAGACCATCTTTCAGATTCTTCTCAAGAACCGCTGGGAAGCTTGTTCACTACAAGGGATTTTACATGCAAAAAGGGTACAAGGCTCTGAGTGCTTGCAAACAGTTCTCCAAATACTTGGTTGTCACTAGGTATGATGTGTTACTGTTGTAAAAATTCGGGTTTTCTGATTTCCACATAGACACGAGAAAGACCCTTAGTGTAACTAAACCAAAGAATTCCTCCACCTGATGCGCCCTTCGCAATAAAAAATAAATAAAATAAAATAATGAAAACACCAATAAAAACTGACAGCTTTTGCGGTGAAGGAGGATAAGACCATTTATTGGCGTGGCACCACCCAGGGGAACTGGGAGCTAATGCTCAAAAGTTCCTAACTCCAAGGTGCCTTTCCAGTGAAGGGTTTTAAGGGCAAAATTTGGGCAGGGGTCTTATGAGAAGGTGGACACTTAATTGGAGGTCCATGAGGTCTTATTATTAATGCATGTTATTTAGTTGTTATTGGTGCCACTCTGTCTGGTCCCACCGAGTTTTGTTCCATCTCAAGACGACTTGGAATCTGAAAAATATCATCTGTCTTCATGTTAGAGACTTTATTAGGTGCATCTGGTGCCTGTGTGTTCAGGATAGTGCTGATTAGCTGACTGTGCTCAAAGTAACTACTTATACTTGTGTAAGCTAGTGGGGTTGCATTTCTTTATGTTCCTTTGAATGATGAGCAAGCATTCCTAGCTCCTGGGCCTGGGTCTATGTGTTTCCTGGCCAGTTAAGCAGTGCTGGGGATGATGTGACCTCTAGTGTTCATTCTTTCATCTGAACTAACAAGATGGATGCTGCTTTCATTAGGTCATCTTAATACATTATATTTCTATCATCAGATTGTTTTAAAATATTGCTTACATGTCTCTGCTTGACGGGTTTTGGTTCTTCCCCATTTTTTTTTATTTCTTATTTGATACAGTCACAGGAAGTCAGCATCAGTTACCTGCTGCAGTTTTAGTGGACATGCCTCAATGACCTCTCAGTGATTGGAGAGTTAGGAGAACAGGAAAAGCCAGACACCTTTTCTCATTGCTCTGGGTATTCCAAGTTCCAGTTTTTCAGGGCATATTCTCACACACACACACACACCCCGCCTGCTACGTACAAACACCAATACATCCGCTATATCCTGACTCTCCAGTAACCGGTTTCATATAAGCACTAACCCTTCCTGTGTGTGTTAAGTCCCAGCTGGGACTTAATGCTTTCTACTAAAAGTAGGTTGTTGTTTATTTTTAAGTTGGGAATACAGAATTAGGTTTGTATATTAAAATGATATATATACATATTTATTGGAAATGATGGAATGATTGTGGTGAAAACTTACAGTCTGGGAGCCACCATGATCTATGCCATCTCTTATTGGTCTAGGGTTAAAACAGGAGAGAAAAACCTGTCAGAAAATAATGGAGCCAGACAAGCAGTGTTGGTAGTTGGGGGTGGCAGTGGGGGTGGGGTGGGGAGTATGCTATGCAGATTTGGTGATGTTCAGAACCTTCAGCAGAGGAAAACATCAGTTTCCAGGTAGTTGGAAAACCTCGGACCATTAGTTTAGGGCCAATCCCTCTCTAGTCTCTCCTCTTGGGAGACCCTGAGCCTCATATCCATCAGGAACAGGTATCACTTTTTTTCATGGCTCCCTGCCACTCTTCCCAGCCATTACCATTGCCCTCCTATTCCCACATAAATAAACTCAATCACAGAACCTGATTGAGTATTCACCTGCAGGGCTTAGGGCTTGGATGTGCTTAGTCTCCCCAAATGCCAGATGCTTACATGGAGAGGGGAAAAAATAGGAAAGACCTAGAATTTACCCCATATTCTGATTTGCACAAAGGTTACCTTTTGCCATTTTTGAGAACATTCTCAAATAGTAAGTGAAAAGTGATATGAAACAATTTCTTTTCATTCACAAAGAGCATTTTTCATGAAATATTTGTAGTACTGAAAATTTCAATTTAGGAAAATGACTTTTGCTCTTGCTGTGAAAATAAATGCTTACTCCAAAGATTCCCATATTTTCACAACACCCTTAGTATCACAGTAATCTTTTTACAGCACTTCTAGGCCAAAAAGAAATACTTAACAGTTTTGTTTATTAAGGAGTTAAGTCTAAACAACGTAACAGGTACTTATATACTAAGAACTTAGCAGCCTCTGAAAAAATAATAAACATTAATTGGAAGAAAATACTATTTCGTTCATAAATTACAGTAATTGCTAACAGGATGTGTGAGCCTTTTGGGCACACAAGATTCTCAAGTCTCAGAATCAGATTGTACACCCCACATTCCTTCCCTGTTCCATATTGATTTTTACATAGCAATTTTTTTTTTCTCAAGGGAACCACTGAAAACCCAGTGTTATAAAGATACAACATCACTGAAAGTAATGTAGCGCTAATATTGAGACACTGAACTACTTGAAGCTAATCCTCTGCAATTTCTTTAATTTTTTTAATGTTTATTTATTTTTGAGAGAGACAGAGTGTGAGTGGGGGAGGGGCAGAGAGAGAGGGAGGGAGACACAGAACGCAAAGCAGGCTCCAGGCCCTGAGCTGTCAGCACAGAGCCCGACACAGGGCTTGAACTCATGGACTGTGAGATCATGACCTGAGCTGATGTTGGATGCTTAACTAACTGAGCCACCGAGGTACCCCTGCAATTTATGATAAATGACAAGTATCACTGTGTTTCCTTGGATATTTTACATACCCTGCAGTGACCTTGTGAGTTCCTAGCACTTCATAGTATGTTGGCACACAGTTTGAGAACCATGGGTTTAAACTCTGTAATGAAGCATAGTATCATGACACTGTGAAAAAATGTATGGGACAGGAGAGTGTGTGTGCATGAGGGTGTTTGCAGTTACATTTATGTTTATGTCTTTGGGTGCCATGTGATTATAGGAGCAATTCTTACAACCTTGTAGTAAGTCAACACTCTCACAGTAAAGCGTCCATCATGCCATGTTTTTTAGATCTAAGATTTTTTATTCCTCTAAGCAGGGACACTCTAGGTCCCAGGTTTCATTTTCTAACTCTCTTGGTTTACTTAAGGAGAAGAATATCAAGGAAAGATTTTATTAATTACTAGATACACAATTACTCCTGCATATGCCTAGAATGTGGGATTGTTTTGTCATTTGTGCCAATCAATCTGAATTATCAAGTTAAAACAATGATATGATGTCAAAAGCTGATTTTAAAATTCTATTACAGCTTATTTTGAAGAGAACCATGCAAGTAGAATAAATATGTGAACATATTTGCTAATTCTGAATTGTATACCTCCCTAATGCACATGTAGTTATGTGAGTTTGAATGTCTTGTGCATAAAAAGGAAAGATCAAATTTATCTTAAACTGTAACTCAAAGGATAACATGTAATAGTTCTTCATGCTGTGATCATTCACATAGTCAAATAGATATATTACTCCTTCTCAGAGACTCCAAGTATATTTAAAACACATGTGTATATTATGACTGGATCATTTGTAGCAAATACAAAGCTAAGTCTTAAGTAAGTCAAAGGGGGTCTAAGTTTCTTAACTCTGAATTGATCCAAACAATCACAACTGCATTTTAATAAATAAGTTTTTGCACAACTGTGCTAAAAGACTTGTATTTCTTCTCATCCTTCCAAATGATCTTTTGAAGCATTTGCTGGTTGATATAGCAAACAGATTTTATATTTGTAATTTCACTTCATTCAGGCTTGAACATGATTGTTTTTCTGTTTACTCTCCAGTATTACTCTAGGTCACTGGCACTAACTCTTTGAACAAATAAGTAATCCAATGATGTAAGTACCATTTTCTATGTGTACAAAAACGTGATAGAATTTACTTTGTCCTACTGTATGCAGTTATGAAATCTGACATCAGTAGAATCTATATTTGTAAGCATTTTATAGAAGGTAGGTGAAGTAATGTTTACTAATATGATCCTCCTTGCTGTAACCACATATAAACGCTTAGAGATTTTGTTCTGAGCTCTTATTTTTGTCTCCAGAACCACTGAATGTTGAGCTTCTCTGTCTCATACTAGTCAGGAACTGGAGACCTCTCAGAGACCTTCTACAAAAGAATGGAAACAGGTATTCAGTTCAACCCTATTTTATTTCTAACATATAAAATAAGAAGTGCAAAAATGAATTTGGAAGTTTCCCTAAGAACATTCCCTTTCTTAAATAAAATGAAAGAAAAAGTACAGAGCAACAACAACAACAAAAAAGACAAGGTGTTCTGCCTATAAATGCTTAAGAAAGAGACTTTCTATAAAGTTCTTAGAACAGTGTCTGGCACTATGTATTAGTTATTATTTTTTATTGTTATTCTGGCTGAGTGATGCCTCTTCTTATTGCATGAAAGGCTGAGATGGCAAGAATTAAGAGAAATGGAAAATATCTGAAATTGTTTCAAAATAGTATTCCTGCTATACAGATAACAGTGGGAGGAAGATAAGAGTAAGCCAGGAAATAAAGTTGTCCTATATATTCTCTCCTTCTGACAACATACTTATATTCCTTTATAAAGTTCACTCTTCTAATAATTATTTGGCAGAGACTGATATACCTGTGTACGTCTTCAGAGTTGGGACCCAAGAAAGAGTCGCACCATAAATCCAACTTTTTTGTATTGCTTCCATCCCTAGCACCTCAGTCATGACATGCGTTGCAAAACAGATCTATGTCGCACCCTGTTCCTTCCCACAATCTCTCCACTGTCACCCCCATCTAGAATATTCCATGCATTCACCCAAGGTCCACTTCAGAGTAAGAATTTCCCTCTGTATTTCATGGTGACTTCTTTGTCTACAGGTGAGAATTCCTTCACATACCTTCAGGAGCAAAGGACACTGGTTAAGACTTGTAAAAATACACAGGCCAGCTTTCCAGTATGAGATGTTAGTGGTTCCATCCTCATCCTCTGAATCATTACCTCACTGTCCTCTGTCTTTCCCATGGGGTCAGGAATACTGCCCAGGAAATCTCACCTGGGTACGGGCCTCCTTATCCCGCTCTGATTCCTATCAACAAGATCAGGAGTAAAAAGTCAACAGTTTGCTGTGATTGTTTTAGTAAGTCACCTAGATTTGTTTTGTCTTGTTTTGGTCAGTGTCTTTATTGGTGGGTGTAATAGAAAAGTAACATTCCACTGCTTTACTGGGCAGGAGTAAAATCACAGTGCATTTTGCCCCCTTCTTATAGCTATTAGCAAAACACTTGTGTATCTAAGCAGTGATTTGTCTGTCCATATCACTGTGAGAAACAGTTAATGTCTAACCCAGTGGTTCCCTACCTTTTGGTCTTAAGAGTCTTTATTCTCTTTAAAGTGATTGCCTACACCAAAGACTTTTATTTATGTCGGTTATACCTGTTGATATTTACTGCATGATCAATTAAAACTGAAAATTTTTTGAAAGACAATAAAACACAATATACATTTCATTAATCACCACAGCAATGACATTATCACTACACTTATGAAGAAAGGCACATACCTAAAACCTTGACACATCCCTTTTATGCACAAAAAGAGTTGGTCTTTTTAGAAGTCTTCAGGACTAAATATAAACAGAAAATCACTTTCCATGTATCCCTACTCTCCTCATATATGTTGAGGAATTATGGATAAATTATGATGTTTGGAAAACTCTAGTAAGGCTGCAAACTTAAGGCTCTTCCCTCATGAGTAGTTTCTTCCCAGGAGCTTGAAGGCCACCTGCAAAAATCTCTCCAAACTCAACTCTTATCTCAATTCATAAATATTTATCAAGCCAGACATGATCTCTAAAAATCCCCATCCATATTCCATGAGCCAGTTCTTCAACAAAGACACTGACATTGTCCCAATTTTAGGCCTTCTCCCAGTATTTTCAGGGCCTGGGGTAAAAGCATATTTAGAGATACTAGTTCCATGGCCCACTACTCTTCTCTTCTCACCACACAGCTTTTTCTTGCAGTGTATGGAGCCTCCAACACATCCATATGCATACTCCAGCCACAAAGCCAACCTTCATCCATACCTCTCTAGACAATCATCTTTCATGGTCACCCTAAGGCCTAGACCCCATGGTCTTCCCTTAGGACACCCACAACAAAGAAGACCATGCTAGCTCTGGAACCAGGCTTGGGGTCATTTGGGCAAGGAATTCCAGGGTAACCCAAGTGTAATGTAGAGTGGAGGGCACAGGCTCTGGTTAGGCACATGTCCTGCTGCTGCAGCTCCTCCCCCTGTGGGGAGGGCCCAAAGAGAAGGACCAGAATGAGGTCCCCCAAACCTTGAGGCCCTGAGCAGGGGCCTAGTTGCCCAGCTTCAATAATAATCCTGCTAAAGAGCAATGGTTCTACTTCTCTTAGTGTGAGTATTGGTTGTAGATATATACTGCATAAGGATTTTTAAAATCCTGGAGGAGATCCCAAAATTAATGAAAGCATTCTTAAATTTTTGTTCACTTTTAAAGACCATTATTTTAGTAATCTTATTTCTCAATAAACTAGTGGAAACTAGTTTTACCAAAATTTCCTTCAGTTCTTCTGGAGTTGATCAAAAGATTGCCTCATATATACCCACAACCCATTTGTCACTGGAATCGCCACACTTCAACTGGACCATGTCCACTACCCATAAAGCCAGGAAGAGAGGCTCCACTGTTCACATTGTCTTTGGAACTTCAAGATTCAAGCCAAGGGTACTAACTACATAGACTTTTAACACTTCTATCCTTAAGAATCTCAGATTTATTCTGGGATCCTTGTAGAAGACAAGACAATGACATCCTGTCCAACTTTTTGTCATATCTTGTCACCTGCATAACCCAACAGCTCTGTTTATGCCCTGAATCTCAAAAAAGTCCCTCTTGTATTGTTCTGCAAATTTCTCGACCTCTCTTCTGAGACAAAGAGCTCAAACCCAATGCCACACATTAAAATAGGAGCAGACACTGTAGTATGTGGCCCAATCCATTCATTTTAATGTCTCATGTCTCTTAAAGCAAATCCTGCATTCATGTAAATGAATGTAAACAGATATAAGGTTCAAGGAGTGAGATAAATAGATGTGTGCCCTGTTACGAAGGTATTAAGGAGCACAATTTGAAGCCTGGTTTTAGATAAATGAAACCATTACAATGTATAATAACAGCAAAGTAAAAGCCGTTGTGTCCAAGTATTTTAGGCTTGAAGAGGTAAAAATGTCCAGATGTGAAGAGACAGCTAACCAAATAGCTCCTGGAGTTTCTTCTTTGTATCCAAATTCTATCACTTTCACTTCTGTTAGTGCTCCTGTTACCACAGATTCCAGGGATATGGAATCTGAAAAAACCCTGGTCCATATGTGGACAAAAGCACATGTGGACAAAACCTTCAGAAGCACGTGCCAAGACATAACTAGATATGTAAGAGTGTTATTGAGGGGAACACTGGTGAGGAAAAATGGAAAGCGTCTTGAAAGAGGCCATGAGAGCCTCAGATATTGATACAGGTTTGACTACTGTGAAAGAGAACAGGAAGGAACAAGGGAATTACCATACCTCAAACCCATCTTCCTGCCTCGCCCTCCCCAGATATATAATATTACTAGCGGATCCTGACCATTTTTTATTCAATCTTGTCTCTGTAGATGGAGTCTCTTATATCTATACCCTGACATGTATTTTCTCCTCCAGAACCCTCCTTCTTGGTCACTTTCCTGACTCCTGGCTGGGATTTAGAGAAACCCTACAGATCTTTCTCTGCAGCAGGGGAACGACAAACATGGATATTTTCAATGAGACATAATTTGATGTCCAACCAGAAAATGACATACAATTTACTAATACCAATTTTAGTCACTTTTGGATGGATCTCTGATTAAGATTATCTAAGACTCTATCTCCTTCCCACATTTCCAATTAAAAAAACAGCTAATTAGAATAAAATATAATAAAACATCCTGAGTCTCCTTTACACTAGACTGAATGCTCCATATAGTATGATTACTGATGGTTAGTACATTGGAATAAGTATGGTAATTAAAACTTACAGCCATTTCATATAATGTGTGTCAAGGTAAGAACAGTAATGAGCAGTGAATCACCAGTTCTGAATCAGGGAAAACCAAATTATAATACTACTTAAATTTTAGTGCTTTGACGAGAGCCCAAAATTCAACAGTGTCATTTATGGTGAAATGATAAATAGGTAATAGTAGTTGATCACTCTTTAACATGTTGGCAGCTTTTGTCATTAGAAAAATCACCTTAGCATTTCATAATGTATAGAATTGTCAAATCACGGTGTCATACACCTGAAACTAATATAATATTGCATGTCAACTACAATTTAAAAAAAGAAAGATCAAGTCATCTTATAGAAAATAGCACATAAGTTCCAGAAAAGTCTTGGACATAAACATCTTGGATCAACTTCTTTTATATGAACTTGCAGAAGCCTTTAAAAGAAAATGGATTAAAATAACTGTGAGGAAGTGGAAAAATAGAATATTTCTGTTTAACTGTACAAGTTGCCTGTTACCATAAGTAATCAAAAAATTACATCTCTCAACAGTGACTATAAAACAAAACTAAGGGGAAGATGGTGGCGTAGGAGGACGCTGGGCTCACCGCGCGTCCTGCTGATCACTTAGATTCCACCTACACCTGCCTAAATAACCCAGAAAACCACCAGAGGATTAGCAGAACGGAGTCGCCGGAGCCAAGCGCAGACAAGAGGCCCACGGAAGAGGGTAGGAAGGGCGGCGAGGCGGTGCGCGCT